TGCAAGTAATGGCAAATACTTTTTGTTTGTTATTAACAAGTAGAAGATTGTAAATTTTTTTGAAAGTGAACTGAATGATAATATGATTATACTTGTCTTTCCAGAGATACAACCTACGGAAGTTCGCATATAATGAATTTCAAAATTTTCATTATCAATTTCTCATAGAATGAAGATATTTATCGTACTGTAAAATAATGTATAGTCAGTTTCATATGAAAATCATGAAGATGAACAATTTATGTTCTAAAGGAAATTATGCCGAAGAAAACAAACGTTATAAAGTCTAGTTTAATCTATTGCTGATTTAGTTCACACGCCAAAAAAAAAATAGTCTCCTTAATATGACCAGTATTGAAGACTGTGCATGTGTTATTCTTTTTTGTACCTCATCTAGAGTCTAAATAGAATATTAGACAAACAAAATAAATGATAGAAAGAGATACTAGAGAGCTATGCGTACATTAACATATAATCAACATATCAATAGCATTACTCCTTCAAAAACAAAATAGACACTTATACATATATGTATATGAGAGTTCTATCAATTTAGAATACCCTTTAATTTTCAAAGATTCGATTATTATATTTTACACTTTTAGTAATTCCAAAAACACGAAATTCACAGTCCTAACTTTTGGTAATTATTGAAAGTCAAATGCGAAATTCATGCTACTCACTAGTGTATATGTACAAATGAATTATGAAATATATAAATATTTTTGAAAATCTAATCAACAGTTATATAGATACCTTTCAAATATATTTGATATCCTTCGCTTCTGTACCAACTTGTTCAGTTTTGACTCATCTCTTTGCCGGTAAAACCTTATGAATCGTCTTTAAGATGTTTACCACAATTTACGAGATGAGCATAGAGAATAAGATTCCTATACTTCCATACTTCTTGTAATACTTTATAGTCAACGTCTTCCATAATGAACTCTTATACAACATACATAGTAAATTTAAAAGCTCGAACCGTATTACTGGATTTTATCTTTTAGAATATAAGCAGCTATAACATGTGCCGCATTTGAATTCCATAGAGAGTATTCTTGCACCTTTTTTATATTGAAAAAATATAGGCGATCATCCATTAAGAACGTCCAGGTAAACGTCGCACATTTAAATCCCTCCTCTCCCTAGTGGCATCCTTACTCAGCCTTATGATGCTTCGACAAAACTCTGCTCCTTCTTTTATGTAGACGTTCATTATGAAGAAAAAAACATTTAGAAAAAGTCTGATTGTTCAAATATACTGCTTCGTTTTTATTAAATCATCGTTAATTAAATGAATATAAATAAGGTTGTGGATGTAGGTGTGAGTCATCTATTCGTATCCACATCAACACGTACATTCCCACCAACTTCGCACCCACACCCACACCCACACCTACACTCACACCCCACACTCACACCCAGCCACACCCACATCCTTAAATAATAATAATCTGAAAATACTTCACTTTGGTTATGTGTTACAGAAACAATCGATGTGTAGATACGGATGTTCATTTTTGTTTCAATCCCACTCTCATCGTCATTTTTGAATTGGATGTGAAACAAAGTCATCCGTTCAATTCAAACTCGGGTATTCACATCCATTAATAATACATTGATACATATCGTGAAGAATAGCATCAACAGTAATGCAACATCACTATTGAAAACGTAATTGCACCATCACATTCGACTGACAGAATAAGAACACATTCTGACACTATAAAGAAACGATGAGTTTGGCTCTGTTCCGTGGTTACTTCGCAAATAAAGCCTCATTTCCTATAGTAGTCAATTGGCACTTGTCTACAAACAACCACGAACGCTATCCGACTCATTTGTATTTTGATGAATTTTTGTTTTCCTGTTTTATTTCTAGTTTTTGACACTTGATCGGACTAGCGTCTGAAATTTAATACGATCCGACAAAGCACACACGTCTACCACGAAAATCACGACCTATGGTGAGACTTGCTATTCAAACAAAATTATTATTAAATTTCAATTAAACACCTTATTACTTGTCTCGGCACACTAATCCGCCATTATTGTATCTCTTGTCTCATTCTCACTAATGTGTCCACGTTCGTCTTCCGTACTGCTCATTCAAATAGTCGATTTGATCAGTAATTTCAATTCGATATAACTGTATCTGAGGGTGTGGATGTCGTGATTGTGTGTATAAACCGAATAGTATAATCAAAAATTACACATATTTCTTTTTCTAGAGGGTTACTTCCTACTGAGCTACTTTGACGAGTAATTCTTTTTCCTCCTTGGAGCATCTTCAAAACTCATTTTAGTTGTCAGTAATAGATAGATAAATGTCTAGAACATGTTTTGTTTGTTTTTTGAAGATGAACTATTGAATAAAGTGTTGAGTAGACACTGTTTAATGATTTTATGTACTCATTACTCAGAAATATATATATCGGTAGTAAAAGAATATTGTTGAAAAAGATTCTTAAATTTCGATGAAATTAAATTGCATATATAAGCTAGAAGGTGACGCTGGTAAACTATTTGGCTATAACATTAAAGATACAGTAGATAGTAGAAAAGTTGTTAGTTTCATCAGGATATTTTATGATTTTTGACAATTTTACATTTTGAATTATTTCTCAGCAGTGTTTAACTTTCCCAAAAAGGAGGGTGTGGGTGTGGGTGTAAGGGTGTGTGGGTGGATGTGGGTGTGGGTGAGTGTGGGGTCTGGGTGTGATGTGGATGTGAATGTGGTTGGACGTGGGTATTGGTGAATGAATACAAATCCACACACCGACCCGCATCCACACACCCACACCCACACCCACACCCTAATGAATCTACTAAAGAGAAATGTGCTATGCTTATTTCAATATGCTTTACTCTATTTTGTACTTCAGACAACTAAATTTTTATCAAATCATTTTCCTCTGAATTTTATTGAATTCATATTGTGTTGACTGATTTATTCTAAGATCAGAAGATAAAAATTTTCAGAAGCAATTTATAAGTAGGAATGAACCTTTGGTTTTTAATTCGACTTAATTAAAAGAATGTGATTCGTTTCGACTAGCTCAGGATCACCCCTAGGTAGTCCTAAATAGGAATGTACAGCTCACACTCTTATGAGCGTGAGCGATTTTCCTATATTGAATAGGAGAGGGAGGTTACCGTACTTTATGAAGCTCGACGAAAGGTAATCGTAGTCGAGGAATTCGAATCAGTAATCAGTTTTGGGAAATTTTGAGTTCAGTATTTTTTGGCAAAAGAAAAAGAAACATTTTTCTGCCGAAAAAGTCTTTTTTTTTACTACAAAAATCATATATTAAGAAAAACTTTAATGATTAATCAACTTATAAAATAATTCATTTTATTAATTAATTCTATAATACAATATTTTATAAAACGCTATATTATTCAAAAATTCATTTAACTCTTTCGATTAAATACGAACCTCAATTCTTTTGAAACTCATTCTTTAATATAAAAAAAAGAAATTAACTTGAAAAAATAATTTCGAAATTCTATGAAATGATATATAATCGAAAATATTTTTCAATATGATCAATTTCATTACAAATCGATACTGTCCTTCATTAACAATAAGATAAAAGACTAATCTTAGTTAAAAACTTATTTATTTATCGAATGCAGGCATCGGATTGGACCCATAAAATATAGGATTGTGTGATCACGTAATATGTGAATTATCTAGATAGTTCACATATTACGTGATCACACAATCCTATATTTTATGGGTCCAATCCGATGCCTGATCGAATGTAAACAAATGTATAAGTTCATCTAACAATAGACATTGATCTAGATTTAACACCAATTGAAACATCATAATATACGGTTATGAATACATTGCATGCATTTATTAGAAAATTCGATGACGATAATACAGAAAACAAAAATGAAGACAAGACGATTTCCGAGAAAAGTATCTATACTATGTTTACATTGAGAAAATATACCCTTACTAAGACAAACAATGCAATACGAATCAATAAAGAAATTGTAAAAGTTAAATTAAAACAAATAGATCAAGGAATCAATGTCAATAGATAAAAAATAATTTCATCGAAAATGAATCATACTTAAAATAGTTACCTATACTTATTTATCTCTGATTTGATATTTGTCTTTCTGCTATTTTTTTTATCAGTATTAAAATCCATTGGAAGAATATGAACAAGAACAATAATCAGTCCTCCTATCGAGAATAATTTATTGTTGCAGATTGATCTCATTAACCTGATATCGACCGTTGACAAAAATCAATTGAACTTATTGTAAAAAGATAGATCAATTTAGAAAGTCATATTGAAAATTAACTAGATCTTTGTTACTTAGATTATTAATAGATATTTAGTTAATTATCGTTCGACTATTTAGTGGCTTACTCAAAAAAAAAACATGCAATGAATTACGTATTTGAAATTACATTTTCTCAATCATTTCTCATAGAAATCTGACTTATGTCACGACAAAGTTTGTTATCATTTTTCTGGCGTTAGTTTGCTTAGTAACATGATATTTATCATCAGACTTTCCCACGTGTTGACTGATAAAAAATATAAAAGCGTATTTTATTTTTCTTTTGCAGACAAACACAAAATGTTCGTATTACTGTTAGTTTTACTAGTCACTGTTGACATTGGCTATGCTCTACAATGTATAACCGACTGTCGGCTTCGCAATTATTACTTTAATGACACATTTAAGATACCTGATGGACGATGTCAACAACGTAAATCAGCAGATGATTGTTTTGTCACTCTCAAATTCGCCTATCACAGCCAGTCATATGATGTAGAGTTTAGTACTAGTGCTGTGACGTCGGATTATATTTACATAACATCTGGACCCTTTCTTTCGTACAGTATCACTTATCAATGTTCAAAACGAACTGATTGTGTTATCTCATACGCACAGAACAGAATTGATGAAATGGTAGGTCGAAACTACAATGCACAACGCATATATCAACAAATTGCTCCACTTATCGAGAATCCTTTTCGAAACGGTTCAATTCAATGTTATGATGAGAAAAATCAAATTGGACTTTGTTCATCTAATCAAGTATGTGCTTTCATTTTTGATCAAAAAGGAAATAAGGTTAAATCACGTGGTTGTGCGCTAAATACTCAAGGCAAAGTTTCGGTCTATGATGGAGATTCTTATACACAGTTCGATATTGAATGCAATCGTCCTTTATGCAATACTGATGAAACATTTCAACAAATCAAAACTATATTAATCGAACATCGTTTAATAGATGTTAATGGACGGCGAATTGCAGCAGGAACAAAACAAATGATTTCCTATCTTTTAATGATCTCAACTTTGATTTTCATTGTTGTTTATTATTTGTAAAAAAAAATTATTATTTTCATATTAAATAAAATTTAATTGAGCAAAATAAGCAAGATGTAAACAGATGACTCTATATCATTGAAATTACTTTAGGTCAATTATATCATTTGAAATCAATTAAAGGATTCATTCGACAATTACTTATCTTCTGTGTTCAATTAGAATTTCTTCAATCACGACACTAACCAACGATATCAATCAAACACATAGAGAGTTGGTTTTACTAAGTGAATTTTTTATAATAAAGACTTTCAGCATTCGAACTCCGTCTTTTTTTTTTACTTTCATCAAATTTCTTTTTAATGTAATCAATTAAAATACATTTACAATTCAGGATAAATACAACTAAAACTGATATCACTATTTAAATAAACTCAAAAGACTTTCTTATGTTAACAAAGAAAAACAAGATGTTAGAATAATTACAATTATTGAAAATCGTCATAAAAAGTTGCGCGATCTTTCAAATGTCTTCTATTTACTTATTAATCACAACATAAAAAAAAATTCCACCTCTCTACTTGTTATCAACTAGACAAATATTTAAATATATTCTTTCTTCAAGTTTGCATTCTAACGTTAACAAAAACTAATAGAAAGAAAAATTACTAAGTAAAATATATTCAAATGATTAACTAATATATTAATAAGCATTTTTCAATCAACTATCAACGGTCATCTTCACTACATAAAAATACAAATAAAACAATAGAACTATGATATAAATAATAAATATTAACAGTCTATATAAAGTACCTTCACCAGAGAAATAACAACACCAGTAATCCAACATAACAACATAAACAATCAAAAATGTCACCAATAACAGAGTAACATACGTCACTATCATGACATTCAATAGGACAATATGAAAAAACTCAAGTTTATTTAACTGGTAATATATGAAGTATGATTTTATTTCTAAAAAGTTGAGAAAAAAAATAGAAAAATTGATGAAATAGTGATGATGCTGATGGTCGTGTTATTTCTTTGATGAAGATACTTCATATAGACTGTTATTATTTATTATTGATTTCATAGTTCTATTGTTTTATTTATATTTATATGTAGTAAAGATGATCGTTGATAAGTTACCAAGAAATCAACAATAACCTAGCTAGTAACATACCTGTACTGGGAATTTATGTTGACTATAAGAAGGCTTATGACTTAGTTTGGCATAAAGAATTGATTGTTAAACTACATCGTATGTATATTCCACTTACGATCCTAAAGTTGATAATTAGTTGGCTCGAAAATAGAAACGCATATATTGTGTTCAGTAAAGAAAAATCAAAATTATTCGAGATTCAAATAGGTCTCCTACAAGATAATTCGTTAAGTCCATATATTTTTATAGTGTACCACGCTGATTTGGTTAAATGTACAGAAGCATTTTCTACTCATCTCTTCGCAGATGACCTCAACACTCTAATAGTTCCACCGATATATAAAGGCTCTCAGGAAATGTTGAACTTTATAAGTACAGCAGGTTCGAGAGTATGACAAAATCTTTTTGACTACGCTATTAAGTGGAAACAATCAATAAATATAACTAAAACGGTGTTTCAAGTGTTCCACTCCCAAGTAAAACTGCCAAAAATAGAGGTAGAGATGGTAAGAGTTTTCAAATATCTAGGTTACACGTGGACCGACAAATTATCTTTGAAACCTACAGTCAATAAATGTCTTGAAAATATACAAAAATCGTACATCAAGTTGAAATGATTAAAACTTAATAAAAGTATATCGACGAAAGTATTGAGAATGTGTTTCTTCGCGTACTCGTTTCTATTTTTCTCATGGATCATCCCCTTCTTTCCTTTATTACCAATTACGCAACAAGAACTAATCTGTAGAAAGTATCGAATCGGTCTTCGGATTGTACACAGGTGCCCATTTATAGAAGCACACGATATTTACAAGTTCACTAAAGAAAAGTCAATAGAACACTACGTACCTAGAACGAAGATTAGCAAATTTTCACAAAACTGATTTAGGAAACTCAAGTTTCTATCTAGATGTCTTTTATTGGAATCCTTTTAGTAATCAGAATTCAAACAACAAAGATTGATATAACTCTCATAGGGTGAGGCATTTTTTTTTCAGATTGTCAAAAATAAAGAAAATGAAGGAGAGACATCAATCCTTTCTATTGACATGGCTCTCCTTTATTGATCACTATGAAAAAAAAATGAAAAAGAATTAAACTACGGCTCCAGAATAAATCAGAAAGGTAGCTCAGCTCAATCACTTCCGGGAGACCATTAGTAATTAACAGGGCTTCACTACGCCTATCTGTTCACAATTTTTTATTATTTTTATCTAGTCGCCGGTATTTTTTCTCTTTTGTCCTTCGTCTTTTTTCACTTCTTATGTTCTCCTTTGCATGTTTATGTTTCTGTTCTTTATTGTCTAAATTCATCGTTAGATGGCATTTTATACGCAGATTCAGACTAGTGTCCATATTTGTTCATTTTATTGTTATATACTATGAACTGCTTCATTCTTTGTGCTTTGTAACGGTTGTAAGCGCTCTCGAGCGGAACAGTCCGTGATCAATAAATAGCAAAAACAAAATAAACAATGTGCTAACAGTTTCTTAAATAGTATATATGTTACATTGTTCTGTCTCAACGAAATGAAACTGTTTTCTAAATTTTAGGTAAATGACAACATGAAGCAAAAATATCACTGCAACTATTAAACAAGGTAGTAAATGAATAGTATGTCTTGTTGTATAATAAAAATAAGATTTTATTTATTTCTTGAAAGAAAGAAGAAAAGAATAAAGTTTTGAAGCAATAAGAAAAATCTAGTTTCAATAAAATAATAATGAATAACGAATTGTAAGATAATGCTTGGTCATTATATTTAATTAGTGATCATGCAGTTGTGTAATTTTACTCAGAATAGACTTTTTATTTTTATTTCAAAAACACAATTAATAAAATCGTATTTTTATTATAAAAGAAAAAAGAAAATATTTAATTTTCTGCGCTAATAATGAAAATTTCTTCCTATTCTTTCTGTTAAGAAATACGAAAATAAAGTAATACCTGTAGTTCTTAAATTGATTGTTTTTGTTATTAAATTTTATATTCAAATAAAACAAATATAGTGCAGCAATACTAAAGAGAATATGGACTTAGGAGTGCTTTTACATAAAGCACTAAAATACACAAAAACTGTATAGGAGTGCTGACGAAACACTGAATCTTCCAAGATGCATACTCGACTGTTGTACTCAGATTCTAGTACGAGTATTCGCTATTGAATATCCCGATAAGAGTATAGATTTTTCTCGATTTTGATAAACTATGGCTCTCATCAATCTAATTAGTGTTATATCCATTTAGAACGGATTTCAACGAATAGTTAAGTTTGCCCAAATATATTTCGAATTGATCAAATTTAGTATTCTCATTATTTCAATTATTCTTACGATTGTGCTTCAACTATTTCAATCTGTTGAACTGAACAATTATGGCAAGATAAGAAACATTTTATCATCGTCTTTCTCTCTCAATTCTGCCTTTGTTATATTTTAAATACTGATCATATTCTATATAAAATAAATGTTAAATTCAGCATTACATTAGATTTCATGATTATATCATCTCTATCAGTATTTATATATGAGCGTGCCTATTAAGATTCGGTACTATATCAAACAGTGAATTTATCTTCTATGACATTATTGATTATTATGCTGTATTGAAATTTATATGAATTATTACCGGACAAATATACGTACATGCAGGTGACATTTTGACACTTACATGCAAGTCATATATCGTGGATGACAATGCAAGAGTAATATATTCAAATATCTGCAAGGATAAGAGTGATGCATGATCTCACGTGTTTTAGTTCTAATCGTAAATAAAATCTTTGTAGCGACACACACATCTCTAAACATATGTTGTTATTCAGTAGTTATGCGCGAAAATTGCAAATATTTCAATAACTTGTACGATCGTATACAAGATAAAAAACAAATTAGAAAATATTTTGCAAGTAAATGCATGTTTTCAAACATTTCATTGCAAATACGTACTTTTTTAAAGTTTTACATTTCACTTCGATAGACAGATCAAAGATTTGAATCTATACTATAAAAGTAAAGAGAAATGTTCCGACTGTACAACTCATTTTATAATATAAATTCTGATAGCATTATTCAAGTCATAACAAATAAAAACCGAAAAAACGTCAATGTTAATATAAGATTTGATCGATGACTCGTGTGTTGTATGTGTAATGATCTATATTGGTAATTACCTTCAATTCAATTTTAGACTCTGTTTAATCAATCAAAAAAAAAGCATGTCATTTAGATTTTGTAACTTATGATGAACATCGCCTTATTAATATTAATTAGAATTTCTAAGTATCTTCGATAATAACACATGTGATTAGTCGAAATCAAAATCATTGTAATTTCAAATTGTCTTTAATTTTTAGTACTTTTATTGATAGTTTAACATGTATCGAAGTAGATTAAACAGTAACATACTTTTGAAAGTTTCGTTAAGGATGTGAGTGTGATTTTTGATCTCTAATTGACTCACTCCTACATCCACATCCTCGAATATCTTCTGTAAAAATTGAAATCGTGAACATTCCTTTTCTAATGGGTGGACTATTGTTTGCTCATACAAAGAAAAACTCATTTTAACTTCCCTATCAGCTATTGTGGAATATGAAAAGATTTCTAAAATTTATTCAATTGATCTACACAATGTGTCGTCATTAATACGATTAACAATAGATGAATCCCTTAAACAAAATCTACAATTATCAAATGATAGTAAAAGTAGTTTGTCATGTGTATTCATTCCCATCGAATGAAACTCAATCTAATAGTACACAACAATGATTATATTCCGTTGATTTAACAAATGGATAGATTGAACGTTAGGGAAAAGATTTCAATGGAAATAATGATGGATACATAACAAAATCGAATGAAGATGTTTATATTTTAAGACAATTGA